AATCTCTTTTAATTCAAAGAATTTGAAAATGATAAAGAGTAAATATTAAACTGAGATTAAATTCTACAGAGAAATGGACATTAGACGGTTGTAAGCTGCTCCAATCTTTTTGCAAAATTCCAAACTGCAATGAATGAAACTGTGAACACTAGAAATCGTTTAACATCATTGATGATTTATCTTTGAATTCTTCATGGAATATCAGTTTTAATAAGTAATTACGAACGTGTTGTAATTTTACGAAAAATTACGAGTTCCTTTCATCGCGTAATCGCAGCACAGAGATATCGATTCGCGATCATTTTTTGCCGCAGATGTGATTTACATATCTATTTTTAATCAAATTATATAAATTGCATGTCGAACGTGAGGTTTGCGAATAACAATCGTTACAAGGATCGAGTTTTCATCTGCAAAAAAATTTTCCGTGCGTGTCTAACGAACGGCGTTTTACCGACCGTTACGTTAGATAGAGTGAGATCCTCATTGTTTATTTTGGTCCAACTCATACCCGGCGATTACTGCTAAACGCTAAATGCTTGTTCAGTTTCCGGGTTTTATTTATCCCGCGCGTGATGATTGCATACACAGCGTTATCCCGGAGTCTGAAATTCAGGCTTTGAAGCTCGAGGCTTAAAATGTGGATGCGAGATTAGAATTCAATTTCCTTCCGCGGTCAGTTTCGTCGACGAAGCGCAAGATCTTATTATGACGTGACACTCTCGCGCTAGTCATTTACATTTTCCGATTACGCGGTATTTTGCCAGATGACACTGTGCCGCTCGAACCGTCGTAAAGGCGAACGCGCAATAAGCGTAAGATGTTGTAATCGGATCCTTTCTACGAAAGTAATTCGATATGAGAAAAGCTCACGTCAGGAACGCGTAAAGTTACGCACGTTCAAGCCGTGTGCGTGTTTAGATTAGATATTCGTACACACATTGTTCAAAGTTCCGCCTGACAGTCCAACGTTGTGTATGTGTGCGCGCGCGCGCGTGTGTGTATGGGAAAATGTTAAAATATGAAAACAAAAATTTTCTATCTGAACGTATGTATGCACGAGACAGCAGAGCCAATCATTAAAATGCGGACGTGTAAAACGACCTTGCGGCGTGAAACAAAATACGTTAGGCGGGCAAGAGAAGACTATCGCGTACGTAAAACGGCGACTCTTCGTTTTGTGATCCATTCGTGACAAAAAGAAAATCGTGATATCCTCCGCGTCCTTCTCGTCACCGAGAATTAGTCGGAGGACGACGAACGAATCTGCGATGTACGCCGTCCCCTCCTGGGAGGCCGCTTTGAGGTACGACATCGGTAGGCACTCTTCTTTCTGTAAACGGAGAAAGTTCGACGACCTCGGACTTTTTCTATCGACTATTAGCGTAAGGTTTAATAACGGAGAGGCGAATAACTCGGTAATAACTGGAAACGAGATAAAATAAGAGCGAATTATATAAAATGTAGTCTTCGATTGACATAAATATTAAAAAAAAAGCCAATCACGCCAAGTTCTGCTCTCTCCGATATTATGCTAAAGATAATTATCGAGCTGCGATCTAGCCTGAACGTCTTTTTAAAAAATACGACTGTCCTACCTTCTACGTTTAATTAAACCTTTTTGTTAAAAGCCGAAAGTTTGCCAACCCACCTTGCGAAAATCATCGCACGTAGATCGTGACGATATCTTGCGTTTCTCAGCGAAGTGACGCGCTTATTTCTGCGACAACCGTCTATATTTCTCTTTGTGACAAAGACGTACAGACGACAGAGTATTCTTGGCGCGGATTTATGAAACACTCCGTGAGGGTCACGTGCGAGCGATTAGCGTTTTATCACGACCCACGTCGACTTCCCATCGATATATTTCCGTGCTTCACCTTCCTTTCATATTGGCCCCGATCGATCCTCGCCCGAGAACTTGCACGGACACGTGCGATAGTAACGCGAAAAGCATCGCGACGTCGCGTGTCTCGCGACTCTCGGAGAGAGAAAAAAAAAGAAAAGAAGAAAAAAGGCGCTCCATATTTTTTGCCGAGCTCACACTAATGCGCGTGGCGTCGTCGTAAAACACAACGATCCGCTCCTGAATTGACGTGAGTGTTTTAAGGTCGACCTAATTTTGCAAAATTGTCCGGGATGTAGTAATAAATTGGCACACGATCCGGAAAAACGGGGGAAACGCGCCAGAATCCTTGACGCCGCCGAGATACGTCCGATAATACTCCTTCATCGAGATGTATCACGCAGACTGAAATGCATTGTATAGCCCGGCGATTATTTCCCTCTAGAGGAAAATTGTTTCACTTTTTATCTTCTAAAGATAATTTCGCATGAGTCGTCAAAAAATTTCGATCAGTCAAGAAATCCGAAGATGTAAATATCTTCTATGTTAAATGCAGAAATGAAGAAATAATCTGAAATCAGAGAGACATATTATCGTACAGCCTAGTAGATAAAGACAAGTCTGTCACTGAAGTCCAAAGTTATAATCATATATCATAATATTTCTTACGTGACTTAATCGATCGCTCGCTCTTTTCTCAATGTCTCGTTTTCGCTTATCGCATTACGTATATTTCGAACCTTTCGAACGATATTTGAAGAGAAATCAGGAAAAAATCCTTTGACAATGGAGGAACTTGCTCGAATTCAAGATCACATAAACGGCATATTTTTTGCAAATAGCTGCGCTAGTTTTCGATTGGTGCACTCTGAAAACTAGCGCAGCCATTTGCAAAACAAGTAAAGGTATTAGGCAAAAAAGTTATCATTTTTCCATTAAATTTCATATCGCATAAAGTTAGAAAAGCGAAAATTGTGTGAAAAGATTTTTGTCCAAATGTAAAAAAAGAAAAAGATAACGATGGTAATAATTTGGCCTTGATTTTGCTGAAAAATTTTCCAACTTGAATTAATAAATATGACAAAGTGAAGTACTCGAACTGATAGAAATGCTCGGCGTGCAATTCCGCTAAAAATATGACGATATCAGTGTGCATATCGGGCATTTTATCGGTCAAGATGCTTATGTTACGTTTCTAAATAACCTGGCGTGAACCAATCCAGTGGACCGCATCGGGGTGCACGCAGTGCGGGAATAGTGCAGGAGTAGTGCGAGTGACCGAATTCGCTATTTAGGCGGGACCCGCGCTATGCCGCGTCGCGCACACCGCGTATCGTCACGCGGCGCAGCAACGGCATACTCGGGTAGTGGGGCGGCGTGCCGCGAGAGGGTGTCGCGCGCGAGACAGGTCAGGGCTGGGGCTCAGTCAGTGCGCTCGCGTGCGGTGTGTCGGTTGTGTGCTGCTGCTGCATCTTCCAATCCTTCGCTGCCGCTCCCGCGCGCGCGCTGCACTCTCCTCCTTTTCCTATCTTTCTCCCTCTCTCTCTCGCTCTCTCTCTATCTTTCTCTTTCGTTCTTTCTTCCTCTCTGCCGAAGGAAGTCGCGCGTTTCGCCGAGAACGGCCGAGTTCCCGGGCGCCGCTGGAGTCCGGCGGAGCGCAGCGCAGCGCAGCGAGCGCGTTTGCGGCGGATTACGTCGTTGACGCCGGGCTGTGATGTACGGCTAGTAGCGCGACGGACGCGATGCTGACGGTACGCGTGCTTACATAATTGCCCGTCGTCGGTTCGCATTAGCGGCGCGTGACGCTACGCGAAAGAGAGGGAGAGAGAGAGAGAGAGAGAAAAGGAGAGCGAGCGAACGAGTACGTCCCCACGGCAACGGCGGTGGTTGTTCGTACGCTCGCGCTACTCGTCGATTTTACTCCGTTCCGTGATTACTCGGGTACGTATACGACACACATAAGTGTACATTTACACAATTCACATACGCATATCGACACGTACACAGAGACAAGCCATCTTTCCCTCTTTGTCGTTCTCTATCCGTCCTCTATCCCGCGCACTCTCTCGCTTCCTTCTCCCACCTTCGTCCTCCGTCCTATGTGCATACATCTTTCTCTCTCGCTCTTTCCACTCCCTTCCCCTTTCTCTACCTATCTCTCTCTTTTCCTCCCACACTCCCTCTGACAGCTTGGTCGATTCACGAATCCGCCGGGGCCGGACAGCTCGCGCTCTTTTCCGGGCCTCTTCGAAATAAGGCCAAAAGGTTACGTTCCTCGAACTTTGAAAATTTCCTCTCCCTCCCTTCCCCTCTACGCCTTCGTTGTTCTTCTCCCCTGCTTTCCCTATTCTCGTTTTGTTTTTATTGTTCTTTCTATTCGCTTTGTTGACGACAAAAGGAGGACGTCATAACGGCGACGTGTCGTCGCCGTTGAAACGACGACAACGACGACGACGTCATGATCGGAAACGCTTCGGCGCTTGGTAAACAGACGAATACGCGGAAATTTCTTTTCTCCGCTTCGCTCGCGCGGGACTCGAGGCGTGAATGAACGAGCGCGCGTGATCCGCAACGTCTTTCGTCGACGTACGAATTCCCGCCCCGGTGGGACCGCTTAATGAAATTCGATATCGCTCGAATCGCGCGTCGTCGTACGATCGCCGATTATTCGCAATGCACTATCGACACCGCGTAATCGTGCTCGGTGGAGCGATCTCTACACGAGACACGCTTGAGAATTCGACTCTATGAAAATTGTTGCGATATAATGTTATACTGCACACACAAATAGCTCCGTAAATCGCATTACGAGAATAATGAAAACAAAATTTCCTTAAGTTTCCGACACGACACAACACAGCGCGACACGATACTCGAGAAATCGATACTCCCGTAGCGTTATAATTTTGTTGCCCGTTTAAAGAATTTTGCAATATTTGTTACTTGCGCTCGCCCAGTTTGTCTCTTTGATTTACGCTCGCCATCTGATTCTGTTTTTGTCCTTACTTGCCTTTGTTTGTTTGTTTCTCACACACAGGTCTGGCATCAATACGTATATTGCACATTTATTTTCTATTTATTTTGAGATTGCTTAGAGAGAAAGCGAGAAAGGGAGAGAGAGAGAAAAATGAGAGCATTCGAGGGCGCAGGCTGGCCTACGAGCATGGCAGCGTTGCTGTACGGGAAAGACATAGTAATGAATTTGTTTATATTTTTTGTATTTGCCGATGACCCTCCCGTCGATGGTTGTTTCGCTGGATGGTACCAGTTGGAGTATACAACAGCAACCACAACAACTGCTGGTGGTGGACGCGGTCGCACCCCAGCAACAGCGCGATCAAATCGTTGCATCGAATCAGGTGTCATCACCGTCATCGTCGAGAGGTGATCTACAACAGCAACAGTGTTGCAAAATGACTGACCAACGAGAGCAGCAGCAGCAGCAGCAGCAGCAGCAGCAGCAGCAGCAGCAACAGCAATCCCAATTCAGCAGCAGCAGCAACAGCAGATCAAAGGCAATGAAGAACCAAGAACGAATCTGATCATCAATTATCTTCCGCAGAATATGAATGAGAAGGAACTGTACAGTTTGTTTGTCACGATTGGTCCGGTTGAGTCCTGTCGAGTTATGAAGGATTACAAGGTGAACTATATACTTTCGTGCACATTCCCATGTGTGATTTTGTACGAGTTGCTTGTAATACTAATTTTATATATATATTGTTATATATATATATATATATATATATATATGTGTGTATATATTGTAATACTAATTTTATATATATTGTTTTCTAGACTGGTTACAGCTACGGCTTTGGTTTTGTGAATTATGCTAAAGCTGAGGACGCAGCTACGGCGATAAGCACATTGAACGGTCTTCAGGTGCAAAATAAACGTCTAAAAGTTTCGTTTGCTCGGCCTTCTGGAGAAGAAATTAAAGAAACAAATCTTTATGTTACGAATTTACCAAGGTAATTGCTGATTATTTTCTTCAAGATTAATCACAATAATATTGATGAAATATTATACTAAAAGGCATCATTTTTACTTACAGAAATATAACGGAAAGCCAGATTGATGAACTTTTTAGTAAATATGGCAATATTGTACAGAAAAATATTTTGAGGGATAAACTCACCGGTTTGCCGAGAGGAGTAGCATTTGTTAGGTAAGTAAATAATTAATTTTAGTAATTGTAATATCGATGTTTCCAGCTTCCAAATATCGATGATCAATTTACGTTTGCGAATCGTATTTACATGCAACAAACAGGAGTGATAATTTCAGTGACTTGACAAATATCAATTTATGACACTTGCACATTTTCGTCGAGTATAAATAACGCGGTATTGAAGATTGGAACAAATTCAAAACAGCTGCTCGCGGCAATCATACTATATTCATTACACAATCATGGTCCTGCATATATTCGTGCGCGCGTGTATTTATTTTGCGAAAGTTTCCTGCCAAAGTATTTTTGTACAGCTCATGGTTTCAATTGCACAATTCTCCCTGATACGCTCCCTTTAGTCTGGCCTAGATAATTGCAAAACATGAATAAACTAGGGATAGTAGAATTGTGGGAAATAGATTGTTGGAAATAGCTGTTGCAAACATGCCAACAGCTGAGAATCTCTCTAAAGTACTTCTTGACCGTCCCATTTTAATTTTGTCAAATTTAGAAAAGACAAAAAAAATCAAAAAATAACTTCTTTCTAATCTTTCTCGGCATAGATTCGATAAAAGGGAAGAAGCTCAGGAAGCTATTGCACGATTGCATGGTACGATACCGGAGGGTGGATCAGAGCCACTTAGCGTAAAAATTGCCGAAGAACACGGGAAACAAAAGGCAGCGTATTACGCGGGCTGGCAAGCTGGATACAATCAAAGCCGCGGTAAGTAATTTTATACCTTGCGAGATCGCCGCATTAATAGACTTTATCTCATAGCTTGGCAGTGGTAATCGATAAATTAAGCGCATTTCTTAGGCGTTCATTGTTCTCGTCGGAATTCAAAGTTCCTTCAAATAAATAAAAAGCAAAATTACCACTGCTTAGTGGAGCTTGCATTTTTGGCTTTTAATATTTCATTGCTAAAGAATATATATTAACTGAAATGTATGGTTAATATATATTTATATATATAAATAGTTTATATGATTTGCATCTTTATTACGATTGTGTAATATGCTTAGTTATATAGGAGAGCATTAGTTAAAACTGTTTATTACAATTATTACGTTTGATCAAAAGTTCATTATGTTTTAGTCTGTTTGCCTGATGTGTCGAATACGATTCTTTTGATCGAACGTATACTCGATTTTTGTCATATCTCGATATATATTTCTTAAAATTTGTTAGTGTAGATCATTTGTATATGGCGTAATGCTTCTTATCGCGATATACGTTATACGATGTCGTATATCGCATCGTGTTTCAAAATGTTTTGCATCGCACATTTAGTATTTTTTCCTCCGTCTCCGATAATAATCTTTAATTTTATTGCGTGCACATATAAGTATAGGTAGACGAATACAATTGACTCCATAGCGTAGGTTGTTATTCATAGATACATATAGATATCTTTTCATTTTTTTTTCTTTTCTTTTTTTTCTCTTTCTTTTTCTTGTCCTTTTGTTATGCTGTTTATCTAACGTTGAAATGTTTTGTCAGATAAGATGGCTGCATCTAAATCAGACCACCACGACTTAACGCACTAAGCACCTTTTGTGTACACAGAGAACCGAAAGGGTGTTTATATTTCTGACACGTTATACACATACGATTACACGTTAAAACGCGGAGAGATCTCTCCGTGCCAAACGACTGGAGACACGACTTCCCGCGCGTTTCTTTACTCCTTTACACATCTTCATTTCCTCTTTTATTTCTACTTTTTCGGAATTATGCGCATGATTCGAAAGAAGCGTGCAAAAGAAGAGACTTGCTCGCTCGGGCGATCCCTGAGCGAAAATGGAAAAAAAAAGAGAAAAGAAGGAAGAAAACCGCTTAAAAGAATTCTTTGCTGTATATGCGATTGAGCAAGCAAGAACACAGTGTTTGTGATAGAAGAACCTTGTGTGTGATCTGGTGACGAGAGGTACGCGAGGTACTATCATGTACACGACACTAGTCAGTGATAACGCAGCGTTTGCGGTATATAAACATCTCATACACCGAGAGACACACCCCGTTGCTGCACAGAAAAAAAAAAAGGAAAAGAGAGAAAATGGCGTTTATAGAAACTTTCAGTTTGGATGCTATCTAGCTGAGTTTAACGATTATTTAACGATTCGCTATCTTCTGTTAATTTTTTCTAGCTCTGCTGCTATTGTTCGTTTTTTCGCTTGATACTTT